TTTTTTTCTTTCTTTTTTCTGTCTTACAATAAACTGCAGAGCTGAGCGTGGCCTAGTAGTTAGTGTGCCGAACTTTGGATCTGCGGGTATATCAATCGCAGCCCGTTACAATCACCACCACAACAACAAAAATACATATATATATACAAAAATCGTACTCCTCTCTCTGGTGCCATGGGTGCGTAATAAAGGTCACCATATTCGGTCAGACAAGGAAAGCCCTAGAGCTGGCAGTGGGTGCCGTTGACTAGGTGCCTCCCTCGGTTAATGCCGACTAGCTTTGTAAGAATATCCGAAAACAAGGCAAAAGAAACAATTAACTGACTATAATAGCTTAAGATAACAGTAAGTATATTTTGGAATGCTCAAATATTATTTTCAGATTATATAAACAACATAAACATTTTAAGATAAAATACAAGATTAACCTTCGTTCTTTTGAGAGAAAAAAAAAATTCTCTATTTGGCCGAATGGTTGGAAGTCCCAGGAAAGAGTAACGACCCTCATTATGATTTAGTTGTCCAAATTATACGAAAAGTACCATACGCATACTAACTGAGTAATATTTTATAGTCTACCAAACATACAGTATATTTTGTTTTGTTAGTAACACAAATACGTCTTCTAGCTTCTACGACCTACACATACCGTATTTATTCATCATAAATAGGGCGCTCTTTGTCAATATAATTGTAAAATGAATAAGACAGATGGCAGCACCATCAAACCTAATTTTGTTCTGTATATTTTTTTCCAATTCTTTCAACCAAATTGATACCGCAATTAACAATACTTTCGAGAATAGGCCGCTTTACACTGAAGCTCTGTGCATCAAATTTTGATAATAATCAATAAATACATACGTAAAGGAAGCTTATGGAACACCTTTACCTAAAACAAAGAGAGTTTTTTTTTTCCTCACTCTGAAACAAAGTGGACACAAAAATCAATAGCATTTTACTCACTTATTGTTGTGTTCAGCCTGGCAGCGACATCTGGAGGTTTTCCCCAACAAAGTTCTGCCAATGCTTATTAATTATCGGTGAAGTATACTGGTTTGCATTTGGCCTTACATTACCATAGACAAGTTCAAGGTCTATCCATGGCTTTTATGTTGTTTGCCTTTCGAAGAGTAAATTATGGGCATTAACAGTCCTCAAATCAGACAGTCCTCTTCCTAATGATGGGTTTAAATTCACCAGGCCCATTTTCTTATCAACTCTAAGTACATAGAAGGGAAAGGCTATACACGCTGGTCAACGATAATCACTCTCGCAACTGGCAAGCAAGGCGGCGCTGTATCCGCGCTCTTTTTCTGACGTCATTTATTCAGACAGCAAGGCAGACGACTTCCGGTTGGGTGCAAATCTTGCAGCCGGAACTGCTGCTTTTCGCTTCTCTGTAAGGCGGGTTTTGTTAGTCCCGCCCCCTCTGGCGAGAGCACTTGCAACTTTGGTGTTGGCTTTCGTACATTTTAAAAACAGATCTTCTAAAAATAAGAAAAACAACAACATAGATATATGTAGAGTTTTTTGTTGTTGTTGTTGTTGAATAAAACAGAACTGTGCGAGTGGACCTAAGATTGAAAACTCCAGATATTTTCCCTGAACTTACGTTAAGAGCGTGAGGTGACGGTAAACCCCGTTATTCAACGCCCAAGGTGACGATTGGTAGATCTAACTGCATATCATTATTCAGTTTCCAGGGTGAGCGAACGTTCCACTGACTGACTGTCGCTGCTCAACACCAAGCTAAGAAGCGACGTCACGCTTCTGGCGCCAAAATACCTCGTGCCTGCACACCGGGAGCAACGCGAGAATACCTAATCACTTTAGATGGTTCTCCCGTCATTTTCACGCTGGGTTTTGGGCTAAGAGCGGCATCCATAACCATCGGTTTAAAACTATTCCGTGAACGGAAGACACAGGGTTTAATGTATAAAGCAAGAAGCCTCATAACGAACGTCATATTCTATTAATAACAGGTCAAGGATATAGAGGAACAAATGACGATTTTTACGACGTCCTTTCAAGATCCGTTTTAACATATTATCGTCAAGCTGTGCTTCTGGATAGGCATTTTGGAGAGAGTATTATTATTTCTTGCTAAACTCAGCTAATGTGATTCTTCTATAAGCACAATATAACTCAAAGTCGTCGTCATTGTAGATCAATGCCCCAGCTACACTTTATCAAACACAGAGAAAGAGCGCCAAGTTCTAGAAGAGGCCTTCTGATTGGTCGATATCTTTGAAATAACCAATCGTTAGTGATCTTAGTTTGGAAGAGTTTATAGAGTCTGTAGCTGGCTGCCCGGATTTCACACATCTGAAACCGAACAACTCGACTGAAATCGAATTTTTAGGTTAGTGTGTGCGATATCACGCCACGAGTGTCCGTGCTGGCAGCGCGGCCCTGGGCCTCGCGCCTTCTTGCCGCGTGCGTCACTGGCTCATCCCTGGCACTCCACCTGCGCGTCGTGCTCCCCTGTCGCCAGCCGCGTCTCCATGCGCTTCGAACCTTCCGAGCTGGCCCAGGGGATGGCTTATCACCCGTTCCTCCTGACCCCGAGCCGCCATCCACCGGACTTTAGCGTCAACACGGTGTTGACTCAGCCTCACTATTTCCCGCTACCTCTTCCACATCCGTATCCGACGGCTCCATTCCCCAAACTGCCGGCTTCTCTGCCAGGAGCTCCGCCGTACATGACAGCCGACGACGTGCTTAGCCAGGGCCGTCATCTCCGACAACTAAGGACCTTGGAGCCCGAAGAAGACGGGATACAAGATGACCCTAAAGTTAACCTAGAATCCAAGGAACTTTGGGAAGAGTTCCATGCCCTAGGAACTGAGATGGTCATCACAAAAACTGGCAGGTAGGATCCAATATTGTTGCTATCCGACAATAAGTATTCATGTTGTGTAAACAGTTTTCATTATAACAATATAATACATATGTGTACGTGTGTAAAGAAACGTATACACGAGGTTTATATTTTTTTCAGGGCAAGGAAAGGTGCCCCCTTCACAGCATTTGTTATTTATCTGTACTTAATTCATTTAACAAATTTTATTCTAAAACATACAATGGCCATTAACTTGTGATAAAATAAAGCTACCTACATAGATCAGAATTGGAAAATTAACCAAATAATGAGTAAACTACTCGTTTATTATTCCTGAAAAGATCTGAACCGAGCGAAACGCATGTCAGCAATAGATGTGACAAACATAGAGTGTTCGGGATACTCGTATTATAAATTTATATAATTCTTGAAAATCTCTTAGGAACTAGATATAGAATGTATTGTTTAAAGATGTAATAGGCCTAATACTAATGTCTTATGACATGTGAATATAATATACTGTTCTTCCTTATAATAATACACTCAGTTGTTGTTCTAATTCTTGTTAACGATCCGTTCTGTACAACAATTCATTCAATAGAACAATCCGTTCTGTACAACAATTCATTCAGTACAATTATCCGTTCTGTATAACAATTCATTCAGTACAATTGAATGAATTGTTGTACAGAACGGATTTATTAGATTTACGATCAAACGTAACATGTAAAATGGTAGGCGACACCATTTATCTTGGCCTACATTTGGCTTTAATCGCGAGTTATGACTTGCGAAAATACAAAATGCATGAAGAATGAAATAGCTGGAAGTGAATACACGCGTTAAAAAATGAGAACTTTCTGAAAAACCACTTTGAATTCTGTTTCTGTGAATGATTGGATCCAGAGTAACTGAGTAAAGAATAAAAGATGGCGACAGGTGGTGTAAATTCTTCTTGATGTCCAACTACGTTTTTAGATTTTTTTAAGGGCGACCTTAAAAATTATCAGAAAAAAAAACACCTTTAACCTGTCTTGCAGAACGGATTGTTCTATTGAATGAATTGTTGTACAGAACGGATAGTTGTACTGTATGCGAACCTCCCGACGAGCCACAGTTAAAAATGGCGACATTAGCCACTGCAGAAAGACTGAGTTAATAACAGGTCTTATTAGCTAGCTTTCTCACCAGGACAGAAGGGTAGTACACGAGTTAATTACAGAGAAACTCGAGTTAATTATCAATAACCCACGAACAATCCTTCATTTGTGCGATTCATCGTTAACCATAGCGCTAGAATAAAGCATTGAATTTCAAACTTGGCACGAAGCTGTACAAGGGCTATCTGTGCATATCAGCCCCTCATTTGGAACCGATAAACTACCTAGGAGGCACTTAGTCGATAACACCCACCGCCCCAAAGTGGGATTAGCTCGTCACTAGTATAACGCACTCACGGCCCCACAGGACGAGGCGTGTTTCTGCGGCAACGAAACGCGAACCACGAACCGTGGAATTCATAAAATGGACAGGCTAACCACAAGGCCACACCCGACCTTTTACTGACAAGGAAACACATATATATGACGTAATGATTTCTAACTTTAACAAAACAAAACGAAAATAAACCTTTCCCTGTGGTAGGGGCAGTATTTCTGACGTCACTCCGTATCGATTGTGCAAACTGTATTTATGCAACGAATTAAATAATCTAAAAATTAAACTCGCGAATTTTAACTTCTTTCTTCAAAACAGGCAACAGTTGTTAATATTACCCTTCACTACGTCATCCCACGTTCAGTTCAACTCAGTATTTAACAGGCCAATTATTTCCTGTATCTTGCTGACCTGTATCACGTTCGACTGGAGGAAATGCTCGTTTTTAAATCATAGGTTATATATGTTAGGGTTAGTTATGTCAATGCCACACTTTTTGTTTATTTCTGTATAAAGTGTAATCCGACAGGTTTGCTTATATTCATGACTAAATGTGGAGGAAACAGAAACATAAAACAATACTTTTATCATTGTTTACTGAATATTGTGATAAAGTTAAAAAACAGAACGTTTCATGACACTCCATGTACTACCATCCAGGCATAAAAATTCAGTCAGAGCTATAACACTTAACCCTGGAGTCACTAGTAAATACTGTGATAAAGGTAAAAAAAACAACAGAACGTTTCATAACACTCCTGTACTTACATCAACATATAAAAACTCAGTCACAACTACAAAACTTATCCCTGAAGACACTAGTAAATACTGTGATAAAGTTCAAACAAACAGAACGTTTCATAACACTCCTGTACTTACATCAACATATAAAAACTCAGTCACAACTACAAAACTTAACCCTGAAGACACAAGTAAATACTGTGATAAAGTTCAAACAAACAGAACGTTTCATAACACTCCTGTACTTACATCCACATATAAAAACTCAGTCACAACTACAAAACTTAACCCTGAACACACTAGTAAATACTGTATATATATATA